TCTTTCCCTTTATTCCCTTAATGGAATGGATGCCATCTGTCATTGTCCCCATGTCAGTTACTTAAAAAAACATAGATTAAGATTTGATCTACTGGCAACACATCAGCTAGAGGCTTGTGGGCAATCCCTGCAGCTGCTGCTTCCCTGAAGTCCCCAGGATGGGCAGTCTCTCTGCTTTGCTTTCCAAAAATCCCTGTGTTGGCTGGGTACCTGCTCCCTGGCTCCTCTTGGGGAAACATTCTCTGCTGAGATTGGGAAGGGTGTTGCAGGCACTCAGGCTGGTTTTCCTTGGAGGAACCTGCTGCGTCTGATTTCAGCTGTGGCTGTTCTTTGGGCTGTTGTGCTAAATCAAAGCAGATTTTCATAGAATCCCTTAAATTCACCTTCTTTTTCAACCTATTACAATTAATGTATTACTCTGGCTAGTTTGTAATGGGGAGATAAAGAGGTGAGAACTTGCTGGATTCATGTAAAACACTGAGTTCACAACAGGTTCTCTGGGGATTTTATTGTTGTAAGGAGCTTGGGGTCAGGGAAACAGTCTCTAAATTATTTGATGCTCAAGATGGTTTTCTGTATCCTAGTATTACCCTGTTGTAACAAGGAGGCTTTGTCCCTCTTTTGCTGGAGAGGTCTCAGTGTATGTTGGCCTCTTCTGCTTTACTAAGAAAATGAACTCTGAAAGCTTTTTGCATCTTTTAACCCTTTAGTAAGACCCTAAAGGTCTAAACCCTAAAGGTCTAAACCCTAAAGCCCTTACAGGGCTGCAGACATGGAACAAATATTTGTCTCATTCCACATAATGCTACATCCAAGCCCTGGTGGATCACATAGTGCTTGTGAGCTAACACAATGTTTTAGCTGAGGAAAGGCCTTAGTATGCATTTCAGAAAAGGCTGTGGGACAGGGCAGAAAACCTGGATCCTTTCAGAGCAAGAATCCTTTCAAAGCTCATGGTGGCAGTGCAGGCAGGCAGCTGTGGAAAGCAGCAAGAACTAATAAAGGCTTTTTGTTTCTTCTTGTCCTTGAATGTAGTAGTGTCTCTTGCCCCAGAGATGCCATGTGGCTTGGGGGTCTTTCAAATCCAATGCAGAGATCAAAGGGCAAGACAGAATAGCCAACTGGAGACTGGTTTAGTTTTCTTAAATTGTGTAAATGTGCTAAAACTTACATTCCTGTTTGATTTGTCTCTAGAGCCAAGCAAGCTCAGTATGTACACGTTAGGAGTACATGTGTGAGTTGAAGTACTGGGTTAAAAACAAAAAAGCAGCAGCTGCCTCCAGCTCAGAGAGAAGCAGCCAGGGCTGTTGCTCAACCAGAACCTTTGGGCCAAAGTCCAACGTATTTTCATGAGGCAGAGAAGAAACAATAGAGCCACAAAAAAGTAGGAAGACTCCTTGCAGAAAAGGAAATTATATCAACTGTGTGAGACTGCAAAGATTTTAAAGGTATCTGAGGTGTGGGAAAGTGAGGATGGGAGGTGGGGGAGAGAGGATTTTTTTAGTGGAAGCTCTTTCAGAGGGTCAAGATCTAGTCCAGTTAAAATAAACTTATGCTGTTATTCTTAAATATAATACTTTGCTTCCGTACTCTTTCCAGTAGCCCAGGTATTTAGTCTAAGCTGGCTTTTGTTATTCCCTGAAGTGGTAGTATGTTCAATATTTTCCTCATTGCCAAACCACCTGTTAACATTTTTAGTTGTAAGATGTTAAAAGCTACTTGTCCCCATACCTTGGAGGGGTCCTGCTTGGGTTGTTGATGCTGATTGTTCTTCAGTGACCTTCCTGCAGCTGAAACAAAAGAACAAGGTTGCGGTGTTTGGTTTTTTTCTGCTACGGGGTGTACTTACAGCTGGTTTAATGTGATGAACTTGGAAGTGCTACTGATGTTGATATCACAGGTTCCCAAATAAAGAGTAAAAAAAAAAACCCAAACCCTGCCAGGTTAACCCACAGCCATGTGTAGAAGAGGTTAGGGAGAACTCTGACCAGTAGAAAGGAGCTAGTTAACTGGGTGAGTGCCAAAAGAAAATGTTCTTCTTAAGTATTGCTCTTCCTCCACAGAACAAAAAGGGCTGTTGGGAAGTAGAGGTGTTGCCACAAGCATGAAGACATTTTTGCTAGAGACTAGTTTTAATAGAATGTTTTGGTCAAAACCTGACAGTCTGTTTTTTCTTTTTCTTTTATTCCAGTTGAATGGATTGCTGCAGTCTCCTTAGCTGCTGGAGCAGCTGCTGTTGGGTATCTAGCTTACAAAAAATTCCTCTCAAAAGACAAGTGCTGCAAGGCAGTGGTGAATCCCCATATCCAGAAGGATAACCCCAAGGTAGTCCATGCATTTGATATGGAAGACCTGGGAGACAAGGCTGTCTACTGTCGTTGTTGGAGATCTAAGAAGGTAAGATGGTCCAGTTTCATTCACCTGCATGCATCTTTCAACTCAAACTCCTTCATTTAGAGGAATCTGACTTGATGTAAACTATTCTGCAGGGGGATGTAGCAGTGTTGGAATCCATAAAACTGTAGATTCATGCTGCCATTCAGAGTAAAGCCTGCAGATCAGTGCTAATACTGAACAGCAGGTTTCTGTAGCTCTGAAGAAGCAGACGCCTTGGAAGGAGAACTGCTGTATGGAGCAATCACAGTCATGAATGACAAATACCATGTTATGTGCTGCCTTGGCTCATACTGAGGCTTAGCCACAATTACTGGCCTGTTGGCAGGTAAAGGAACCACAGTTTGAGATGAAATTCAATGCATTTTCCTGGAGGAAGTTGGAAACTTAAGTCAGAAACTCTCTTGCTGCTAGTTCATGGTGTTAGTAACACAAATTGATTGAGGAGCCTCTTGTTACACCAGAGGTGGTGTCAAATTGTCACTGGCTATGTCTGAGCCCATCATTAAATCTTGTGGACAGGGTGAATGCAGAATCGTTTTGGGAAGAGCCTGACTAGTGCACAGGGTTTTAGGGTGGTGCTGCTGTTCTGTCCTGAATTTATGGCTGTAGTACTGCTAAATAGCTGTGTACTGTAAATAGTTTGCCACATAAATTAGTACAGCAGTGAATTGTTTCCTGTGGTGATGGAGGTAATCTAAAAAGAAGCCCTTGTGCTTCAAAGCTTTTGAAGAATCTAGACAGATGGACTTAATCCATTAGTGCCTTAGCAACTCAGAATAGTTATATGGGTGATCCTAAAGTAAAGCCAGTGAAATAATGATGAGATGCTTTAGGCCTCTGTTTTTGAACAGTTAAAGAGTCTGACCTAGACACTAGTCCAAATTCCTGGAGTATGAATTGGGGTTGCCGCAGTTGCCTGAAGTGAGTGGTAAGCATGATGCCTAGCCTTTCAGTAACCCCAAGTGCAGATTTAAATCTGAGGTAGAGATGTATGACATCTGATGTAGCCCAGTTCCATAGAATTTATCTGTAGTGATAGTTCTGGAATCTGTAGTAAGAGAGCGTGGGTTGCACGTAGCCCTTTCCATTTACTACTGGCACACATTTAGAAGCTTTTTCAGAAGTCAGGGTGCTAACATGTGGAGACTGGAATAATACAAACCTTCAGAGCCAGATAAGTGAGGACAATGGCCTTGAGATCTAGTTATCCCTCCATCAGTGACCTGAACACTGGACTTCTCCAGCCTCACACACAGAACTAATTGGGCCACACTCTGCACTTTCCCAGGTGCTGTAACTTCTGGTTCTTGCACTTCTCAGATCTGACATTATTACCTTGTAGGTGAAAATAACTCGGGAAGTTACACATTTGTAGCTGTATTAGGCTTAACACTAGAACACTACTGAGGATTAAACAGCATGAAGGCTTGATTCTGCAGTAGCCCCGTGGAGGTGGGCTTGTCTTCTCTGCTCTGTTCAGAGTCTGAACTGAAAAGCAAAATTCCCTGCTCCCCCCACCACTGCCAGCGTGTGCTCCCTGGGCTGAGTTACACATGGTGTGGTTATACAGCAGGGCAGCATGTACCTTGGCGTGCAGTGCTGGTGGCTGGGCAGCATGCAGGTATCCTGCATGCGTAGCACCCCTGCCTCCAGGTCTTTGTGCTAAGTCTCAAGTGACAGCCAGAATCCAGCCTTGGAAGCTTCTGCAAGGGCCACAGCTTCAGAAAAGAGGAAGAGGGAGGAGGAAGGCAGCTCTGAGTATCTGAACTTTGTCTTAATATTTTATTTGGTTTTGCCTCAGGTTGCAATAGTGTAGGCATCTCTTTCAGTGCTTCTGCCAAAAAAACCCCAAACTTAAATCTTAACTTGAACCCTAGTGTGTTTGTATTTCCTGCTTCCTACTCTGTATTCCAAACAGAAATGGAAGAGAGTGGCTGATTTCAGTGGCTTCATTGCAGTTTCTGCCAACATTGTAGCTATTGTTTGATACTGTCTTTTTTGTGTGAAATAAAAATCTTAAGAAGTGGGTTTTGGCAGATATTGGAGCAGTGTTGTCAGTTCAGGCACGTGCTGTCCTACCGAGTTAGAGCTCTGGAATCACACACTAAAAGGAAGTGGATGGGGCTACTTTATAATGAGTTCCTTATTAGAACTCTGATCTGGAAGGTCTTGTAAAGGCATGAATGAGGTCAGTGGAAAACTTTGAAAGCATTCATTTTCTTTTACTGATGCTTAATCATGAATATTTTAATCAGCATGTTTAAAAGATGCGAGTTTCCAATTTTGCTGCCTTCCTCTTGCCTTGACTGATCTTGGATGGTGGGTAGCATGATCTTTAAGATGGTTGGTGTGCTTCTCATGTTCAGTTATTGCCAAGCAGCAATGAAATACAGATATTCTTCATCATTCTCACATGCTTGTCCTCTTTGGAGGTTGTTAGCTAGCATCATCTGTTTCTTACAGTTCTCAAACTAAGATGCTGTTAACTTTCTTGTGATGGCAAGATGGTAGAATAGGTGTGCTTCCAATGCAGGGAATTACAATAACTTCAAAAGCAGTAACCACCTGCTGTGTTTTTTAAAGTGGTGTATGAGCATCTTAATTCCAGGTTAGAAGAAGTGTCCTCTTGTCTGACTGCGTGGGCATTTCCTATCAGGTTTAGGCACATGCTGTTGATAGCATCAGTAACATTATGGACCATAGGATTGTGCTGTGTGCACTGCCAGAGTGCATGCTCTGCAGCTGGTGTTCCTCCTGTGCAGAGAATAACAAAACAGTTGGACTATACCAAGGTGTTCTGGGGTCACTCTTGATGAGCAGCATTAGATTCAGTTGTGCTTTTTTTTTTTTTTTCTGAAATGGGATACTTCAGAGGCTTTGTTTGCTTGTGCTGTCTAAAGTCTTGGTGGAATGCATGTGTTTAGAAAAAAGTGACTGTCTTGGGATGTAATGATCTGTCACAGTAGGTGGTAGGTGGTTCTTTAAATGGCCCTTTCCTATTGTGCTCTGCAGGCACTTCTTAGCACTGCTTGTCAAGTTCTGTGGAAAAAGTCAGTGTTCAAATTTACCAGTATAGAGGCAAGATTTTTGTCTTAAAGCCAAAGCTGTAATTAAGCTAATGTTAGAACATTTGTGTTTCTTAATTTTCTGCATTTTTACATGTGTGAGCTGGGGTGGGGGGGTGCGGGAATAATTCCCTCTCTTCCACAATGACCTGCAACCTCGGTGTCTTGCAGAGAAGTATTAGTCCCCAGGTTGTGGCTGAAGGAGTACTGCTGCAGAACGTCAGGAGAAACAGTGGTAGAGAAGCTAAACCTGTTCACTGTCAAGGGAAATAAGCTGAGCTGTCCAGATCACTGCACAGTTCCCTCAGGGTGTGAGCTTTGGTTGCTATTGCTAGCCTGCTTTAACTTAATAAAGGATGAACGTGTTGTGTCAGGCCCAGGATCCATCTATTCAGTGTCTAGTCTTCAAGGTGACCAGGTGGGTGCTCTGGAAAAGTGGTAGTGGTTTGGATTTCTGTTGTTTTGGGGTTTTTCTCTGAGAAGCTCAGGTCTAGTGTCCCAGCCTCTGGAAGCCAGTGGTTCTGACGCCACCTGATCCAGAGGATGAATTCAGAACAGTAAAGAGTTGATAGCTTTGAAAGATGTCTTGATCTGAAGCCTGTGAATCCCACCAATTTTGTCACTTGCAAACTTGAAGTAATGATGTTTCTGTAGCTGGACCCTGGGCTTGCCTCCTTGGGGCTTGTGAGATGCTCATGTCTGATGGAAGCTGGGTCAGTGCTCCTGTGAAGACCAGTGGACTGTCGTGTTGCTTAGAAAACCAGCTGTCCTAGGGACCGTCTAGGTTGAAAGCTGGTCAGTGTCCCACAAACATATGTGCTTGTTTGCTCAGATTTTTCCCAAGTATCTGCCAGTATCTACTGCCTGAGGCACAACTGAGTGCTGTGATGAAGTTCCTGCATGAATCAGCTTCTGTGACTACGCTCTGAATTCTGAGTTTCTTTATTTGGAAATGTCATCTGCCCTTTATAGTGGGGGGGGTTTGGCGTTTTGTGACAATGAAATAAAAAAAATCCCCACCTTATGTCTCTGCCCTCCCCAACACTTTACCCTACAGGGCAGGTGACTTGATTGTTAGAACTCTAGGAATGTTTTTTTCATGTATATTGTCTGCATGGTACTGTTTTCATGCAGTACTTTGACATTTTTTAGTCTAACTAAGCGTGGGTGATATGGTGTTAATTTTTTTCAAGGTCTATGAGTGAGGCATGAACACTGGGATCAGTGGAGTGTGGAAGACTTGGATTGTGACTGTATTGCCAGGGAATATTGCTGTTGCAAAGGCAAAAGCTGACTAATGCCCACCTTTCCCATTGCTTCTAAGCAAGAAAAATAATGGTTGAATGCAAAGGACAGGTGTGTGATTTTTGTGATCATTTCCAGAGGTTCCTCTGCAGAGGAGGCATAGCCCTGAAAATGCATCCTGCAGAAGAGATGGGATCTAAACTCACTCTTGTTGCTTCGCAGAATATCCTTTGGTGCTTGCATGTGTAAAGAGCTGCCCAGGAGCAGAGTGGTTGTGGCTGCTCTGGGACCTGGGCAGTTAGAGCTGCCTGAAGGAGTCTCTGTGGGTCTTGTTCTGACCAGCCTGTTCTAGGAAGTTTTTATGGAACAAACATTTATTCAAATTCTTTCCTCAGTGGAACCTTTAAAACCCCATGATGAATAGCAATGTCAGCTGGAAGTGCAGTTCATTTCCATTAGCAGGTCAAAACCCTCCTGTGGAAGCCACACTCTGTGCTCACGTGGACAAAACTAATGTTCAGCCAAGACCTGGAAAAACCTGAGATGCCAGGACAGAAGTTGTGGTCTGTGGTCACAGTGGATTTAAGGAGAGGATGTTCTAGTGACCTCCTAGCCTAGGTTCCCAGTTCTGACTCTGCATGTACTTCAGACCTGTTTATTCTTTCTCTTCCCAGTTCCCGCTGTGTGATGGCTCTCACACAAAGCACAACGAGGAGACTGGTGACAACGTTGGGCCTCTGATCATCAAGAGGAAGGAGGCGTAGAGTGGACAGTAGAAGCTACAAAACCAATGTCTGACAAATCCTCTGCTCACTTGTAATTGGGGGGAAAACCACAAATTCTTTGTCATGTCACTGAAGACTTTCCAGTGTAGTATATAAATCAGGCTTCAGCATGTGTATTTTCTCTGGTGCTTGTCTGGTTTTAATCACTATGATGCATAATGTACTAAATAGTCATGGTTTAAATTTCTTGTCCTGTGAAGTGTGTGTACCCTGTCACTGAGTATGAAACTGAAATGACGCACAGAATGTACTTAATCAGAAAATAGGTATTAAATTATTTTCAAATACATGTGTGCTGCTCTGAGGCTGTTCAGTAGAATGCGTGTTGAAAAGGTAGATCCTAAAATCCTGGAGAGGTTTTTAAGTCCTAAAGTCACAGGTCTGGATAGATTTCTAGGTAAAAGGCAGTGGCAGGAAAGAAATAAGGGTGCCAAAATGCAGCTTAACCTCTGATTATGCTGCATTTTCTGCAGACACCATGTTTGGCCTGCCACACTACTGTTCTGGCTGGCTTCTGTAGGAGAACAAATTTAAAATTGCTAACTACAAACAGACAACATAAAAGACTTGCAGCAAGATGGGGCTAAAGGGTAACTTTACCTTTGATTTTACAGCAGTGTTGAAACTTGACCCTACTACTGTATGGTATCAAGAGCATCCTACCAGAACTGCAGACCTGTTTTTAGAGTAGGATTAGGAAGATGGTCTCTGTGAGAGCTTTCTTAATAGAGAAGGGAAATGGTACAAAGTGCTCAAAGAGTGATGGGCAGGGGATGGCAGGGTTGTCTTTGCTGCTAGAAAGCCTTAGTTTCACTTGCAGTCTCTTAGCAGTGAAGCTAATTTCCCCAGACCACAGGACACTTCTGTGGGGGGAGGCAATGCTGATTTATTCCAGAAGCTAAAATAAAAACTAAAACCCACCCATCATAACTGTCTGCTTCATCATTGCTCTGGCTGGTTCCGGAGACTCTTCCCGCTGTGGAGGGAGGAGACACACCTTTCTAAGTGGCCTTAGGCTCAATGTGTCTTAAAAAAAACGCCTGCCTCCCTGGGCTAACCTGTTAGTGTGGTTGAGCTGATTTTACCAAAAGAACTGACATGGGCAAGGAAAGGCTCTGGAGATGGCTAGAAACAAGGGAGAAAGGAAGGATGAGAGAAAGAGAGCTCTTGTCCTTCTTCTGTATGGCACTCGTCTGACACAGCTGCATTAATGGCCATCATGTTGGCTTCCTTAAAATAGCTTTGATTTATTAGCATGCAAATGATTACAAACCAAAGCCCAAAGAGGGGGGGTGGCAGAAGGCAGTTTGGAATTAAATCTGGTCCATCAGTGCAATTGCAGCCTGTGTGAGAGTAAGCTCTCTGTGTCCTGGCACAGGGAGACTACCTCACAGCTAGAGGAAAGCCCTTCTCAAGAAGCTGACATTTTAACCTGGGCCCTTAAGGACTGGGGGAGTAGAGGTTTTATTTAATATTTTTGTTTTTAAGGGTTTGACTGGCACAAGTGATAAAGGTGGCAGAAAATGTTTTGCCTATTCTTGAGACCTGCAGGGGCTGAGTTCTTAGCTGACTGATGTGAATTTTGGCAGAGGGCACAAAAAGCAGGGAAGGTGGCTCAAAGGCAGAGTAAGGGTTTGCAGGTTTGCTACAGTAGGGGCAACTATGGGCTGTAAGAGACCTCTACTTGTAAGAAGTTGCAGTCAAACACATTTCATTTCTATCTTTTCTTCCTGTCTTGACTGTAAAGGAACTTGATATTTTTTACTTGGCCAAGCACTGATGCCTATGGAAAGTTGTTTTAAATGATCAAATACATTGCTTTTATCTGAAAAACAAAGTTGTTTCTGTATTACTAGAATATGACACTGTATATTTCTGTATTTCTGTCAAATACACATTTGAGCTCATCTTCATTTTGAGGCTGTCATGTCTGTGTTACCTCCTGGGTGTACTGTTTCTTTCAAGGGGGAGTTACCCTGAGTCGTGCTGTACACCAGTGCTGCTGTTATCATAAACCTGGGCCTGGGTTGGGTTTTCCTTCTGAGACTTCTTTTCCTGTTAGCAGCAAAACCTGGCTCCTCTTGAAGGAATAAAAATGTACTGAAAGCTGTATTTATGTTCTCAGAAATGAAGTCCTGGAGAGTCTTCAAGTTATTTCCTGGAGTTTGCCAGTAAAACGTTTCCTGGAGTTTGGGTGCCAGGGAAGTGGGCTCTGTGAAAATTGTTTCTTGGAAGCAAAGATGAAGGAGCCGAGTCTTTGCTGATTTACACTGGTGAGTTTGTTTTGGAGAAGTGTCACATTTCTGAATGTTGACACCGAGTGGTTAAATTGTATTCTGATGCACATACAATTTGCTGTACTGTCCCTGTGAGCTCCAGTTACTTCTGTGAGCTGTTTAAACCTGGTAATGAAAAGATACTTGAAACTGAGTGAACAAACTTGCCAGCAGTCATGAGCATCAACAGAGAACACATAATTTTTCTTGTTTAGTAACATAATAGGTTACCCTGTTCTGATACTCTGAGTGCTTTCCTGCTCCAATGCCTTCTGGGATCTCTGCTCTTTAGTGTTTCCTCCAATAATCTCTGGACTATTAAGTGAGTTGGTTAGATCTTTGCCAAGTATTAACCATAAAGAAGTTTTTCTGCAAATCTGCAGTTTTCACATCACATTGAAACTCTATGTGAAAATGTGGTAAAATCCTTCATATTAAAGAAATTAAGGATTCCTGTCCCAGGGTAAAACTGTATTTCTGTCCTATGTTACTTCTCAATGTGTCAGTGTTCATGAGGAAGGTGACCAAATTAAAGTCCTGATTCTGCAGCAATTGAGTGTGACTCATCAAAACAGCCTGAAACTCAGGTATCCAAGTGCTTCTGGAATGGGCATTCTTGAAGAGGAGACAGCTGGAAGGTACAGGTATTTTCAAGCAGGTTTAATTCAAGCACCATTAATCTAAATGGGTCATTTCACATGGTGGAGGCCAACATTGCAGTCTCACCCTGGTCCACTAGGAGGAAACAAACCCTGCGCCATGGAAACTTCTTGATATGGGCAATGCTGGTTTTAAAGGGGGGGTTTATACATCCATGTATTTATGTGTATATATATTATATTTTTTCAGCAGCATTGCTGTCTGACTGAGCCCAGGCACCTGGAAGTGCATAAACATGTTTGGGACAGAGCACCTTTTCATGCACCTTTCCCACCCACCAAAGCTGCAGAGCTGCCCACATGCCCTACCAAAATTTCCACTGTATTTTTTGCAGTTTGGACCTTGTTCAGGTGCTCAGGGGTCTGCAAAATGGATTTTCCACAGCTGCACAGCAATTGGAGTGGGCTTTTTCCTCAGTGCAGTACAGCTGAAGGCATGGAAACGTGAGTCACTGCTGAGGCAGAGTCGTTCACACCAATAACGGAAGAACATTTCATAATAGCAGGAAGGATAAGGATGTAGGCGTGAAGCTAAACATTGGTGTTGCAAAGCAACCTCCTCAGCTGTCTTCTCTTTACTCATCCTGAGTGTGGAACTTAGTGGTTTTGGCTTTAGTTTCAACTCCTGAAGCTTCAAACCTCACCCTGAGCCCTGGTGGGATTAGGCAGAAGAGCATGAGTCCCCTGTGGAGTGTGGGCACACAGGGGTTGCCCCAAACCCTGCCTGGGTTTGTCAGTGCTCAGCATCTCTACCTCAGCCTGCTCAGAACATTTCACATGGACTTGCTGCTGAAAAGATCAGATGCCTTTTCCACTGCCACTGGTCCACATTCAGCCCAGTGGTGTCTGGCTACCAGTTCCTGCAGCAGCTTTTTGCCCCCAGCCTTGTTCTGCCCTGGTTTTCCTGCGCTGATGAGCAGCTTCTCTGCACCAGCCAGAGAAGGATCATTTTCCTGGAGCCATCATTAGTTTAGGATGGGCACCAGGGGCTGCTGCTTGGAACATTCTGCTGCTTGCTTTCCCCTGCAGCAGTGTTGTTGTAGCTGTGCTGCCTGAGGTGGGTAGTACCTTTGTTGGGCAGGATGATTTCCAGGCTGCCTAATGCTGAGGCTAATGCAGAGAGGAACTGAGTAAAAACTAAGTAACAGATAAGATAAATGTGTGGAGAGAATCAGAAAGGGTTAAAAGAAATAATATTTAAAAAAAAGAAATTAAAGAAAACAGCAGATGGGTGGAGAGATAAGCTAGAAGATTTAATCCTGTAGCAAACAGGGATAAATCAAAGAACAGAAAGTGAGGTGTTGCATTTCATTATACCTCTTCACAGAGCAAAGCATAAGTTGTACAGAGTGGCTGTTCATCAGCTTCTGGCACTAAGCAGTTCTGTCAGCTAGAAACTTCCCCTTTGAGCCAAAGGGGTTATATGCCTGGAGCAGACATCTGTTCCTCTGTTTTTTTTTCTTCCAGAACTGTTTGTGAGATCCCACAGTCCTGGACAGAAAGCAATGTACACTCACGCTCTGGGTCCCCTCTTAGCAGACAAGTGCTCCTGCATGCCCACTTCTGTAAGCTGTTCAATTAGATGTGTGATGATAATAAATAGAAGGAATATTTCCCAGTAAGCCCCCTGAAGTCAGTAAAACCACAGTAGGTCTATTTGATTGTAGCAAAGTAGAATTCAGGCCACCTTTCTCATGTGTAGTTTGGACTGGTAAGAAAGGATTTATCAGGCTTCTCAAGCAACTTCTGTTGCATACCTCTCACATAAGCACGGAGAGATAATTCCTCTTATTATTTTTTCTCTTAGCTGAAGACCAAACCATCCCCCCCTCTCTGATCTGACATTGCTCTGCCCTTAATCCGCATCCTTTTCGTCATGTGGACTGCAGTTTTCTCCTGGTGTTTTTGAATGCAGGGCACAACAAAAAGTGCCTTCTGCTCTCCCAGAGAAGCCTGTGCAAAAAAACCCCAACAACCCAGAGCTTCCTGAGCGTGCCAGAAATTACAGTGTGAAGCATTCAAAATTCAGCCTGCTGTGAGGATCTGCTCAGTAGCTAGAATGTTTGTGCCGTTCAGTCAAGTCAGCTGGCAACAGAAAGGCAGCAAAATGAATGATAAGGTCACTGGCTGCATAACTTTTCTGAAATACTTCACTGCAGCTGGCAAATATCACCATACA